GTGCCGCGTGGCTTATCCGAGCCACGGCCACCCTGTGGGCTGTCTGCCCGCTGCCAGCCGGTCCTCCACCGGTCTACACCGTCCACCTCGGTATGGATCCGATCATCCGTGGGTTGTTTCATTTTTCATTTCGTTCAGCTTACAGATGAAGGGATCTCAAAATGTTTGAGGCAAAACGGAGTGGAAGTGTGTGTTTAGGAGCCAGCAGGTGGCGTGGCAGTAAAGGGCCCTGGTATCCCACAGGGCCAACCATGGTTCGAGTCCCGGACCATGGCAGATTTCTCTCTTTTTCTCTCTGTCCCTCTCTGGTCAAATTAAAATGAACAAATAAAGTGAAATAAAACAATTCTTAAAAAAAGAAAAAAAGTAAAGTGTGTTGGGGCTGGCAGACGGCCCGGTGGAGAGAGGGTCTGGATTCCCACAGGGCCGACGACGGTTTGAGTCCTGGACCTGGCGGCTTGCTTTCTTACTTTCCCTTTCGCTCTTTCTCACTGGCTCTGTCTGGTCAAATGAAAGAAATAGTAATAACAAATGGAATTAAATAAATAAACCTCTTTTTTTTTTTGGAGAGGTTTTTGCTATAGGGCGCATGCACTTGCCAGACCGAGAGAGACAGAGAGACAGATAGCGAGAAATCACCCCCCAGGAGGGATGGTCATGCCACAATCCCTTCTCCTCCATTCTCCTCTCGGGACCTTGGGCACGCATGCACGCACACACATCCGGCGTGAGTTTAAGCCACCGGGTCCGGGATGCGAACTGCAGTCGACTACGTGGGAGTCCAGCGACATAGCCATTACACTAACTGCTTGCTGGTCCCCTTTTTTTTTTTTTTTTTTTTAAAGTAAAGTGTGTGTTTACAGGGCCAGCACTTGGCGTGGTGGTTAGGGCACTGGATCCCAAATGGCCAACTCACCTTGAAAATCTTGCTGGGCGCGTGTGCGTGCGTGTCCAAAATCCTGAGACGAGAATGGAGGAGAAGGGACTGGCGTGGCTGTCCCTGGGAGGGTGATTTTTCTCCCATGTACCCGATGGCACCCCCAATTTTTGTTTACATAATTATTTATTTATTTATATTAATTATTATTATTATTATTATTCAATTTAACCAAAGAGAAACTGAGAGAGAGAAAGGAAAAGTGAGAAAGGAAGCCGCCAAGCTCAGGACATGAACCGCAGTCGGCCACGTGGGAGTCCAGCACCTTAACCACCACGCTCCTGCTGGCCCAGGAATTCTTTTTTTTTTTTTTTTTTTAAGGGTTAGAATCTAGATTGCTATAGGATGTATGCACTCGCCAGAGAGATAGTGAAAGGAAAAATGAGAAATCATTCCCCAGGGGAGATGGCCAGACCACAATCCCTTCTCCTCCATTCTCCTCTGGGATTCTGGGCACGCACGCACACGTGCCCGACGTGAGTTCTAAGTCCCCGGGTTCAGGACTCCAACTGCGATCGACTGTGTGGGAGTCCAGTGATGTAACCATCGCGCCATCTGCTGGTCGGGGTGTGTGTGGAGGATGCCTCCTTTTTCACCGGGCTCTGGTCCCTGCCCTCAGGCGGCGACTGCGCCACGCTCCTTAAGAATATCGGGGCGCTGCCGGTGGAGATGGCGCGTATGTACTTCGCCGAGACGGTGCTGGCGCTCGAGTACCTGCACAACTACGGCATCGTGCACCGCGACCTCAAGCCGGACAAGTGAGCCTTCCCTTTTCTCCCTGCCCCGTGGGAGGCTCAGGGACGGAGTGTTCGGGCCTCACCTCCGAGACCCTTGCCCGTGTCTGCAGCCTCCTGATCACCTCCATGGGTCACATCAAGCTCACAGATTTCGGCCTCTCCAAGATGGGGCTCATGAGTCTGACCACCAACTTGTACGAAGGTCACATTGAGAAAGACGCCCGAGAATTCCTGGACAAACAGGTGTGTGTGCGGGCGTGGGGGTCACCGCGGGTGGAGTGACCCAGCAGGACCCCAGGGGGCCCAGAGCCTGGTGGGGGGCACAGCTCTCCCCCCCCACCCCGAGGCCCCTCCTGCTGCCAGGGCGCGGGCTGACAGCCTGCCCCCAGGTGTGCGGGACCCCCGAGTACATCGCGCCCGAGGTCATCCTGCGCCAGGGCTACGGCAAGCCCGTGGACTGGTGGGCCATGGGGATCATCCTCTACGAGTTCCTGGTGGGCTGCGTGCCCTTCTTCGGAGACACGCCCGAAGAGCTCTTCGGACAGGTCATCAGTGGTACGTGGCTCCGCAGTGCGCAGGCGCAAGCCACTGGAGACGCGCGGGCCATGGCGCATCCGATTCCAAAAGCAATCCTCCCCAGCCCCGCTTTGTTTGCAGATGACATCCTGTGGCCCGAGGGGGACGAGGCTCTGCCCACAGACGCGCAGCTCCTCATATCCAGCCTCCTGCAGACCAACCCGCTGGTCCGGCTTGGAGCAGGTGAGGGCTGGCGGGGAGCAGGGCTCCTCCTTCTCCCCAGTCCCGCCTGCGCGGAGACTTTCTGCAACAGAAGTCAGGGGGTGGGGGACTGGGCTGCAGTCTGGCCATCAAGGGGCGCTGAACTGCCTTCCTTCTAGGTGGCGCCTTTAAAAACAATTTTTTAGAAGTATTTTATTTAACTTTAGTTATGAATTTACTTATTTTAAATTTGACTAGAGGGGGACAAAGTGAGAGAGAGAGGAAAAGTGAGAAAGCAAGCTGCCAGGTCTGGGACTTGAACCGCGCTGTCAGCCATGGGGGAGTCTAGCGCCCTTAACCACCACGTCACCTGCCGGCCCGCAGGTGGCGCCTTTGAGGTGAAGCAGCATAGCTTCTTTCGAGATCTGGACTGGACCGGACTGCTGAGACAGAAGGCCGAGTTCATCCCTCACCTGGAGTCGGAAGATGACACCAGCTACTTCGACAGTGAGTGGGGATCCAAGACGGGGCCTGGGTGGACAGTGGGATCCAGGGAGAGAGCCCTTAGGGTAAGGCCTGGGCTAGGGCGGGCCGGGTACAGTGCGGATGTCTAGACGAATGGGCTGACATATGGCTGGGGCGTGGCCTGCCTTGGGTGCAGCCCATGGGGGCGTGGCCTAGTGTAGGGGCCGGGGCCCTGGCTGGGAACTAGGTAAGAAAGTGAAGTTGGGGTAGGGGTGGGGTCTAGACAGGATTGAGCTCTAGGGGGCGGTGCAGCAACAAGAAGAGACAGGATGGGGACCACAGTTCAAGTCCTGGACCCAGTGGCTTGAGACTCACCTGGGGTGCATGCCCAAGGCCCTGAGAGGAGAGTAGAGGAGAAGGGATTATGCCCTGGCCCATCCCCCTGCGGGTGATTTCTCACTTTCTCTCTCACTCTCTCTCAAGTGAGTGCACACACCCTATGGGGAAAAAAAAACTTTCTTTTTTTTAAAATAATTTTTTAAATTTAATTTTATTCATTGTCATTATTTTATTTTTTAAAAGTTGACCAGAGAGAAGGGCCGGCAGATGGCATGGTCGTTGGGGGCGCTGGACTCTCACATGGTGGAACAAGGCGCTTTCCTTCTCTCTCTTTCTCAACCTCTCTCTCTCTCTCAATCCCTCTCTGATCAAATTAAAAGTAAATAAACGGGGCCACCAGGTGAAGCCGTGGATAAGGGTGCTGGATTCCCATACGGACGACCATGGTTTGAGTCCTGGACCTGGTGGCTTGCTTTCTCGCTCTCCCTGTCTCTCTCTGTCTCTGTCTGGTCAAATTAAAAAGTACTACTAATAAATGGAATTGAATAAATAATTATTTAAAAATAATAAATAAATAAATAAAGTTAAATAAGGTCATTCTTTTTTTAAGAATTATTTTTTATTTAATTTTATTTATTCATTCATTTATTTTAATTTGATCAGAGAGAGATACACAGAGAGAGAGAGAGAGAGAGAGAAAGTGAGAAAGCAAGCCGCCAGGTTCGGGACTTGAACCACAGTCGGCCATGTGGAAGTCCAGCACTTCAACCATCACAACACCTGCTGGCCCCACTATTATTTTTTAATTTGATGAGAGCGAAAGAGAGAGAAAGTAAAAAAGCAAGCTGCCAGGTCCAGGATTTGAACTGTGGTCGTCCATGTAGGAGTCCGGCATCTCAACCACCATGTCACCTGCTAGCCCCAATCAAATAATTCTTTAAAAAAAAAAAAAAAAGTTCATGTGGCGGGAGGGCGGAGGGGGAGTGAAAAAGGTAAGCTGCCAGTTCCGGGACTCGAACCGGGGTTAGTCATTTAAGTGTCTAACCGTCTTAACCACCCAGTCACCTACCCAACTCCATGGAAAAAACATCTAAAAAAAAATGGAAGCAGAGATAAGAGTCCAGGACTGGCTGGGCCTGGCACGTGGGGGTGTGGCCTGGCTTAGGGGCGGGGCTCTGGCAACTAAGTAAGAAACTGAAGTTGGGGTAGAGGTGGGGCCTAGACAGGGGTGAATTTTAAGGTTGGGGACTCTATGGGACTGTGCAAGAACTAAGAAGAGACAGGGGCCTGGGTTGACCTGAGGCTGAGCGCTGCAGGTAGGATCTGGGGGTGTGGTCTCCTGGAGGCCGCTAGACTGAGCCTCTGAGAACCGGGTTGTCTCAGCTGGGAGGCGCCTCTTGAATTACATCCTGAATTAGGCTGGTGCGTGGCCTTGACCCTCGGGCCTGCAGTCACAGCGCCCCCTCCACCCCCCAGCCCGCTCGGACAGGTATCACCACGTGAACTCCTATGACGAGGATGACACCACGGAGGAGGAGCCCGTGGAGATCCGCCAGTTTTCCTCCTGCTCGCCACGATTCAGCAAGGTGAGCAGAGACTGGAGCTGGGGCTGGGGAGAGACCTGGGGAGGGCGTGGATGGGGTGGGTCTTTGCCTCCCATCCGGATCTAGATTCCAGAAGAGAATGGGGGCTGGTCTGTTAAGGCAGGGGGCCCAGGCGTGCAGGGTCACCGGATAGGGAATTACTGATGGGCCGGGGTCTGGGCGTGGCAGGGCCTGGGGTCTAAGAGGAACCTTGATGGTTGCAATGAGGCCCACGGTGGGACGGGACCAAATCTGACCCAGGTGGAGTCAGGACGGCGGGCAGTGAAGGGGGCAGGTAGAGAGCAGCGGGGAGCGATGAAGTGAGCCGACCTAATTTGAGACCGGGGTACCTGGCAAGGCGGGACCCAATGGAGAGCAGTTTGAGCAGGACACTGGGGGCGGGGCCTAGACTAGGGGCGGGCCTAACTTTGTGGGCGGGGTCTCCTAGGAGAAGAACAGCGGGTGGTTAGGGGCGGGCGGTCTCGACCTGGGCGGGACGGGCCTTGGGAGAGTGACGCAGTGGTGTGGGCGGGTTCTGTAGCAGGAAGCTGATTGGCCCAGGAGCACAGGTAGGCTGGGATCCTTGCCTCCCACCACCACCTACCCACCCCGCCCCGCAGGTGTACAGCAGTATGGAGCAGTTGTCGCAGCACGAACCCAAGACCCCCGTAGCGGCAGCAGGGGCCAGCAAGCGGGAGCCGAGTGCCAAGGGTCCCGAGGAGAAGGTGGCCGGCAAGCGGGAGGGGCTGGGCGGCCTGACTTTGCGTGAGAAGACCTGGAGAGGAGGCTCCCCGGAGATGTGAGCAGGGGAAGGACTGGGTCTGAGGGCGGGGCCTAGGAAGGGCGTGTCTCCTCTGACCACGCCCTCTTCCTGCAGCAAGCGCTTCTCTGCATCCGAGGCCAGTTTTCTGGAGGGGGAGGCCAGTCCCCCGTTGGGCGCACGCCGCCGATTCTCCGCCCTGCTGGAGCCCAGCCGCTTCAGTGCCCCCCAAGAGGACGAGGATGAGGCCCGGCTGCGCAGGCCTCCCCGGCCCAGCTCTGACCCACCAGGCTCGCTGGATGCTCGAGCTTCCAAAGAGACCATTCAAGGCGAAGGCACTCCCAGCGCCGGGGACCCCGAGGCCAGTGAGTGTTCGCTCCTGAAGCTTCCCCAATTCCCAGGTGGCCACAGACAGTCTTGAGCTGTCAAAGCGCCTTATGCAAGTTCTACTACTCACATGTAACCTGGGAGTGTAATTCACATTAGAAACCCATGTGCCATGTGTAGTCCCCAAGACAGACTGATACAGGGTATTGCTCTGCACCAAAAGTCGCTCCTTTATTTCCTGAGCTGATGAACCTCACAACCCAGCAGCTGAAAGAAGTGGGAGAGCATTCCAGACAGTGGGAACAGCATGCGAGAAGTCCCTGGCCTAAGGCAGGTCTCTAACCCACTGCTACTCTGTTGCAGCTGACCGTCCACGCCCAGGTGACCTCTGCCCATCCTCAAAGGATGGAGACTCATCAGGCCCTAGAGCCACCAATGATTTGGTTCTGCGCCGGGCCCGGCACCAGCAGCTGTCCGGAGACCCCGCAGTGGAGAAGCGGCCTTCTCGAACTGGAGGCAAAGTCATCAAGTCAGCCTCAGCTACAGCCTTGTCTGTCATGATTCCTGCAGGTGATGCTGGCCCTGCCCAGAAGGGGAGGGGTTATTTCCACGACAGGCCAATGAACATATTACATTTTCCCTGTCTACAGTGATTGGTTTCAGGATGGACCAATGAGAGTCTGCTCTGGGACTTTGACTTGCGAGAAGGGAGGGGCAAATTCAGGGCTGTCTCTTATTGGCCCTGACCTCTGACTATGGTTCTGTATCTGCAGTGGACCCACATGGAAGCTCACCCCTCGCAAGCCCGATGTCCCCACGATCTCTCTCCTCCAACCCATCGTCACGGGACTCCTCCCCCAGCCGGGACTATTCTCCAGCTGTCAGTGGGCTCCGCTCTCCCATCACCATCCAGCGCTCCGGCAAGAAGTATGGCTTCACGCTACGTGCCATCCGTGTCTACATGGGTGACTCGGATGTCTACAGTGTCCACCACATTGTCTGGGTGAGCACTCATGGGTGGAGTGTCTGCATCCCAGGGTGGAGGGCCTGGGGACAGAAGACCCCTTAGGCATGTGAGACAGCACAAAAACTGTGGAGCTAGACAGCCTGGGACTCTTTGACACCCCTCTATCACTTCTCTCTCTGTGCCCCGTTTTTATTTATTTATTTTTTTAAGTTTATTTATTTCTTCCATGAGAGAGAGACAGGTACTCCCGATGGGGTCTCATGCCACAATCCACCCCTAGCCTCAGCTAGCCTGGGAGATGGGCCCTTGTGGGACCAATAGAATACAAGAACGACTCTGGAGGTGAACCAAGAACCTTCCCATGTGGGTCCAGCTGCGTTATTGCTGCATCCTGGTTTGGCCCCTGCTCAGTTTCATCCTTTGCAAAAGGAGAATAATTACAGTCTCATGAGATGTTATGAGGATTATAGTGCATGCAGAGCTAAGTATCCAATACATAGATTGAGGGAGCTTCCCTTGTTACTGATCCCATTAACCTTGCCCCTATGGGGTGCTCCACCCCTAGCACGTGGAGGAGGGAGGCCCAGCCCAGGAGGCGGGGCTCTGTGCAGGGGACCTCATCACTCACGTGAACGGGGAGCCCGTGCATGGCATGGTACATCCCGAGGTGGTGGAGCTGATCCTTAAGGTGAGCGCCAAGGAGGGGACGTTCTGGGTGGAGAGTAGGGGAGGCCTGAAAAGCCTGCCATGGAGCGTATTTGTCGCTACCTTTTCTCACAGAGCGGCAACAAGGTGGCGGTGACCACGACACCCTTCGAAAATACCTCCATCCGCATCGGTCCTGCAAGACGCAGCAGCTACAAGGCCAAAATGGCTCGGAGAAACAAGCGGCCCTCTGCCAAGGAGGGCCAGGAGAGGTGGGCAGAGCCTAGCCATTGGGGAGGGGACGGGGCTAATGCGGGAGATGCGCAGGTGAGGACAAAAGAGAAATACATCCGAGAACGAGAACGGTGGCTGGAGCTACCAAATGCAAAGCAAAACAATTAGACGAATAAGTGAAGACGCGCTGGGAGAGTGGGAAGAGCCAGGGAAAAAAAGCCCTGCCAGGTTTCTGGGCTGGGAGAAAAGCATTATGGGAGTGTCTCGAGCAGGTGGGCAAGGCCTGCAGATGAGGGGCGAGGGCACTGTGTAGAGAGGTGCAGGGGGGTGGGAGCGGGTCATCCAGGGGAAGGTCTGACCCTATTAGGTGCTTTTTCCTTTTTTAAGAATGATTTTATTTAACTTTATTTATTTATATTTTTGAATTTGACCAGAGAGGGACAAGTGAGACACAGAGAAAGTGAGAAAGCAAGCTGCCAGGCCCAGGACTCAAACCGTTTTCACTCATGTGAGAGTCCAGCGCCCTTAACCATCATACCACCTGCAGGGGCCCCTTATTAGGTGCTTTTAAACCCAACTGGGCTGGCCTAGCATATGAGGATAGCAAGCAACACTGAGCAAGTGAAACGGGTTCTTTCCTTATAGATAGGTGGAGCTAGGAGGGGTGGGCGGGGCCAAACGAGTGCCCTTTGGGTCAGCGGATTTGGCCTGGACAGTGAGGATTTGAGTGAGTGGGAGGAGCCAGACAGGGCTGGGTCAAGTGAGTTTCCTCCCTCTCTGATAGGTGGGTTATAGCGGGAGAGGGAGGGGGGAAAGAGAAGGGCGTGGCCAGGAGAGGTTCCTTTTGTCTGAACAGTTTCAAGTTTCTACTGGGCGTGGCAGGGGTGGGCGTGGCCTGAGGTGGGCGGAACCTACCCAAGTTCTTTCTGCCTTGATGTGTGGGTTGTAGCTGGAGATGGAGGTGCCAGGAGTTTAGGAGTCCGGTTAAGGGTAGGTGGCCCCCTCTTTGTCCCCAGCAAGAAGCGCAGTTCCCTGTTCCGGAAGATCACGAAGCAGTCGAACCTGCTGCACACTAGCCGCTCTCTGTCGTCGCTGAAACGCTCGCTGTCGTCCAGCGACAGTCTCCCGGGCTCACCCACGCATGGGCTGCCGGCGCGCTCGCCCACGCACAGTTACCGCTCCACGCCTGACTCCGCCTACCTAGGTGGGCTCTGCGCCTGCGCAGCTCCGAGCATTGCGGGGTGGCCCCAGCTGGTGCTGGGATGGTACTCACTGCCCACTATGCTTCCTCTGATCTTCAGGTGCCTCCTCTCAGAGCAGCTCGCCAGCCTCGAGCACGCCCAACTCGCCGGCGTCCTCAGCGTCACACCACATCCGGCCCAGCACGCTGCACGGCCTGTCGCCGAAGCTCCACCGCCAGTACCGCTCAGCGCGCTGCAAGTCGGCCGGCAACATCCCCTTGTCGCCGTTGGCACACACGCCGTCCCCAACGCAGGCGTCGCCGCCACCGCTGCCGGGCCATACAGTGGGCAGCTCGCACACGACGCAGAGCTTCCCGGCCAAATTGCACTCCTCACCACCTGTCGTGCGCCCGCGCCCGAAGAGTGCCGAACCCCCGCGGTCACCGCTCCTCAAGCGCGTGCAGTCGGCGGAGAAGCTGGGAGCCTCGCTTAGCGCCGACAAGAAGAGTGCACTGCGCAAACACAGCCTAGAGGTGGGCCACCCGGATTTCCGGAAGGACTTCCACGGCGAGCTGGCGCTGCACAGCCTCGCGGAGTCCGACGGCGAGACGCCCCCGATCGAATGCCCGGGCGGG